ATTAAAACAATTAAAGACCTGAAATATTTCAGTTGGTGTGCAATGAATCTGAAATATATGAAAGTTTCATTTTTATCATTACATTATGGAAAATAATGACCTTTATCACAATATGCTAATTTTTTTAGAAGGACCTATATATATATATATATATATAAATATACACTCAAATAGATATAGTGATCCTATTTCGTGGTTTTTCCTCTATCGCGGTGATGTCTGGAATGTAACCGCCGCAATACAAGAGAAACTACTGTAACTATAAAAGGTCCATTTGGAGACCTGGTGGCCCCCTTGAGCCTCTCCCTGGACACGCCCCTGCTGATACGCTTAATGAACACCTAAAAACCCACGGACCTTGCTTTGGGAACCCCTTGAGCAGCTCGTCCTCCCCTAAGCCACCTACTTGCCTTTTTGCTCCAACCTCTGCTGAAGGGGGAGGAGCAGGCGGAGGCTCCTCTTTGCTCCATGTTCATGTTTGTTGTTTGCGAGGCTGCGTGTGGACGGGAGTGACGGACTGCTGGCCCTGCCAGCGCTCTGGAAAGCGGCAACTTTTTTCCCCCCCGGATGCGAGGCTGAACGGTGGACGTTTGAGAGCATGACACGTCGGTGATGCCTGTGAACGCTCGGCCGTATGGCTGTAAGGTCCTGCTCGGCTTGTGTTGTGCGCAAAGACTCGTACATTAGTCTCTGATTGACGGCCAGCCGAGCCAGGATGCTGGAGCTCGCCTGAGACGTGCGTGCTTTCTCTGGATTTCCCTTTTTTTTTTTTTTTCTCCACCGACCTCCTCAGCGACGAGAATATTTCTCAGTTCACCCATAAACTTCCAAAAAAAAAAAAAAAATGGTCTCCTTCGCTTTGGCTCGTAACAAACCCGGATAACGACGGGAGCAGCGACGCGACGACACCCCTGAAACGACGAGCAGCGTCCCCCACCCTCGGTAAGGCTTCGGCGGGCAGAGCAGGCGAACGCAGCCGGGATGTGACGCCTCGCTGCCGTCAGTCATACATGGTTGACAGCGCAGCCTGAAACTGCACCGAAACCTTCTTTGTGTTTTTATTTAAGCGTCGGTGCTTAAAGTAAAACAAGCAGTTCAGTGATTTTTCTCTTGAATTCGTCCAACATCGTAACTTAACGTTCGTCTCGTCAACTTGTTAGCTACGTTAGCCTGCTAGCATCACTTCATTTATTATTCAGGTATGTCGCGTTAGCCAAGCTGCTTTAACTTTAGCGACATTTTTGCAAAGTGACGTTATTTGCTGGTGTATGTTACAACACAGGACTCTCAGAGCTTAAACTAGTGAAGATATATATATATTTTTTTAAGACCGGAAGTGCACCTCTCAAACTTTTACACCAAAAGTTGTGAGCCTCTCTGCTAAACTTTAATCTGTTTCCTCCACACAGAAACTCGCCAGCCTTTGGGTTTATTCAGCTCTGGGAGTTTGTTTTCCCCTCTGCAATTAATGCATCTTGGGGAATCCATGAGAGAGTGTGAGTACAGTCAAATAAGTACTCGCAGCTCCACACCAATGGAGACCCCATACAAGAAAAGGACACTAAAGAAGAGGAAGTGGGAGGCCTTCCCTGGTCGAAACAAATTTTACTGTGATGGGAGGATTATGATGGCCAAGCAGACAGGGGTGTTCTACCTCACCCTTGTCCTTATCCTTGTAACATGTGGACTTTTTTTCGTCTTTGAGTAAGTAATATTAAGTGTTCATCTGCCTTGTGCTCACATCTGCTATTCACTTGACATGATTGTGGATCAGGGATTTCATCTCGTAGGCTCAGACACAGATCACTTACGTCAGATGCATGACTGGAGTCTTTTCCTTTCATCTGTTCAGGGTCAGGGTTCGTTTAGACTGGTTGGAGATTAGGTAGAAGCATCCCTTATAACATAATTCCTTAAGTAGACCCTGTGTATATCAACAGTGACTGATGTTGATGGAATAATTAAGTGGTTCTTTGGAGGTGTGGGCTTCCTGTCCTTAATATGTTTATGGGTTATACACGCCATGATGTTTTCAGCTTAAAAGGTTGTTGACAGTGACAAGTGTCAGCTTTAGTGGTGCATTAAAATGCTGGTCATGCAAGTTACTATTGTGTGGACATTTTGTTTTGAAATGTCCTTGAGCAAGATATTGAATTCTAACTAGATGGTTTTGTTAAATAAAGTTGTGTGTGTGGATGGGTTTTTATATAGAGGCGTTGTTAAAATTATTGTTATATTCAATTCAGTTTATTTATATAGCGCCAAGTCGCAACAGAAGTCATCTCAGGGCACTGGACAGAAACATTAATATTCTTAAAAATTAAATTAATAGCACTATTTATCTGAGGAGCAGACCGCTTTGAGTTCAACGTCATCACAGAGAACTCTCGTCTTGAGCAAGCATGAAGGCGACAGTGGAAAGGAAAAACTCCCTCTTGAGGAAGAAACCTTTAGCAGAGCAAGGCTCAGGACAATCGGTCATCTGCTTCCACTGGCTGGATTTGAAAGGAACAGATACACAATGGCAGGTCAATAATCACATTAAGTTAGAAATATCAAATGAAAACTATTCATTTGTAACAGTTCATTTTAAGAAATGAGGTCAGTTTGTCCTCCTGTAGTCTAATCCTATAGCAGCATAACAAGCCAACCCTAACTATAGGATTCATCAAAAAGCAAAGTCTTAAGCCCAGTCTTAACAAGCACGTAGATGTTTAACAACCTGTTAAAATACACCAAAATTCAGGAAATCACATCTACTTTATTCAAAGTTTTCTGGGGGAGGAACCCCATACCCCCCCTCCACCACCGGCCCGCTATTTGCGTTCCAGCTTTGATTATTTAACTTTTACTAAAGAATAAACTAGTTTCCAAGTAGATTCGATAATTTTCTTGCTCATGCTCATCATAATTGTTAAAGCCACTCGTTGTAATGTGTTGAAGACTGCTATAAAAAATAATACAGCAAGACATAAAATCCGCACAGTTTTGTCTTATCAGTTGTTAAATCCCTATATAAGAGATACTTGTGATCCGCTGCCAATTACCACATTTACTTGTTTAGCTATGAAACAGCCAAATTGGCTGAAAATAGGTCAACAATGGCAACATCCAGGAATGAGCCGATAGGCGTCAAGAATACCAACAAATTATGGACTGTGTTTATGCTCAGATTTGTTGACTAAATTATGCAGATAACAGTGCTTTGTTTATATTGTGTGCAGACCCACATTTCAGAGCTGTCAAAATATCTGGAAAACTAGTAAACTCTTTCAAAGCGCACCATTTGACATTATGGATAGCCTATTTTATGTTTGACTTCATAGATTGTAGTGAGTTCCTTTAATAGGATGGACCACACAATTGTCTTGCTTTCACGAAACACAGTTGATCCCAGTGTCATCAGCAGTTTTTTTTTTTTTCCTTTTCCTGCTGTTAGACCAATTTGAAAATAACACAGGATGCCTCTTCCCTCACTATCTCATCGCTGTGAGTAGACCACAGAAAATAGTATGTGGACAAAGACTTGGAGTGCTAGCATCCCTGAAGTATACCACCAGATATTGTGCATTCTTTCTGTCATTAGCCCATCACTTTGTCATCCATCACCTCAGAACCCCCATCAATACAAGATAAAAGTCCAGCTCTGTCATTAGATTTGTTGTTTAATTGGTGTGTTTATGGGTAAAGTGCCTCACAGACGGGAATGCTCACAGGCGAAATATGTGCAATGCTTGTTTGCTGCGTACTATCTGCACTCTAAAGACAGTCGATGCTAATTGGTATAGAAGTGTAACGTTAAGCCATCACTGTTGTCTCATACTCGTATTATGTTCGACGACTGACAAAAGGAAGCCCTGACTGAATTATCTTATATTTTATGACAAGTCTAAAAATAACTGAAATGGGAAAGAGCTTCGGAAACGGATTGAACGAGAAGCATGGACTGCCTTTATACAAAATAAAAATTGCCAGTAAATAAAACTTAAAAAGAAAAGACCCACGTGGATAACTGTGATTCAAAAAGATAACTGAAAACCATGATCAATTGATGACTGTTGAGTGAGTTACCGTATTTTATTTTTGGTCAAAATAACTAACCCCGGATTAAATAAGCTATTTGGCATCACCCAATTATAGTTCCTGTAACTGCAGTGCTTTTGATCAAAAACAACATATTGGCTCGTTCAGGAAGAGGGAATGATGCTAACTGTTAATGCTAACCTTATCACGTCATTAGCTAGTGTAATTCTACAAATGTTTCTTACACTGACTTAACTTTTAGAGTTTGTACTAAAGTGCTCCGCATGCTCCAGTAACATTTTTCATCTTCCTCTCAACCATGTTTATATCATAGCTTGCACATTAAATTCTGTGTTTATAAAATGTCAGCAAAGCAGACAGTACTTTCAAAGTATTGTCACCTCAACAGAGATACAGACATAACCCGTGACCGACGGGCAGTGTACTGAAACGCTGCAAGTTCAGACACCCAAGTTTCTTTATCATAAAACAGTTGATTAAATATTGGTTCTTCTTGGGCATCTATTTGAACCTGGATTTTATTTTTTGTCTTCTCTGCACTCGTAGGATGTCAGATGCTTCCTGGTGATACCTCTCTTTCTGCCCCCTTGGCTAGCTTCATTTCCTAAACACTGTGACCCTTCAGTAAATCTAGTCTGTGGTTTGTTTTCTGTTTGTTGTGACTACAGGGGAACATTTTACAGGAACACCATGCAGCCACAAAACTGCTTTCCAGCTAAGCTTTGCCTGCTCTATTCAACTGTCTGTCCTTTGGCTGGCTGAGTCCTCCTGACTGTCCTCTCTGTCCTCCCATCAGCTGAAAGGAGACATTTATCGGACAGGACGATGGTCAGCAGACCTGCACATTGGCTTCTGGTGTCATTAACTGTAATGTGTTTCGATTAGTTGCGTTTTCCCAAGTTCATTCAATGGACGTCAGCGTAGTGAAGTGCAGCTCTTCATTTACTTTGCAGAGGCTTCTTGTCGTTTGAAAAACATTTTAAATCAGTGGGTGGGGGTTCATATCTGTTTGAACATGTGTTCGTAGGGTTCAGGAGGAGTCAGCAGATGGCGAGTGTTTAGATGTGGAGACACTTTATTTTTTTTTATTTTTTTTTTAACAGTAAACTTTCCAGAGATCTTGCTACATCTCTGTGCTTGTTTTCTTTGTCTCTGTCTGAGGGGTGCTCAGCCATGTACAATAAACCCCGTTAGTGACCAGGACACTTTACTCTGTTTATTATTCTGTTGCTGGATCCCCACAGATGCCTCCATGGGTTGTTGTTTCACATGTTGCTTTCCGTCTCTTATGCCTCTTAAAAGTTAACTGAGGCAGATTTTTGATGTCTGAAGCGCAGTTCTGGATTGAGAGAAAAGTCAAACGAATCAAATGAGAGTAAAACTTTTGGTTGTTATGACCAGCACATTTTCATTCATTCAACCTTTATTTAGACTGGTAAATCCCATTGAGCCTCGACAACAGCGACAACAATAAACGGTTATAAAAAGTCATACAATTTTTTTTATGTATTTATTTATTTATTTTTTACAAATAGGATGGCCAAATTAAAAAAACAAAGTAAAAAGAAAAGTAATAAAAAACAGCTAGTTTCTAAGGCATTTGAACTGGCAGTTTAACATATGCCTGAAACCTTCACATAAGTATTGACTTAAGTAATTTGAGCTCTAAAAGGCTAAAGTGAAGAGCTAATCACATATTTTCTTGAGTCAAGCACTCTTACTTGTAAGCATTGTTTTCAGCTACAGACAAGTTACATTAACATCAAATTGTTAAACAAAGAAATGGGGATACACGATATTATCGGCATGTATCGGTATTGGATGATATTAGCGTTAAAGTTCAATATCAGACATCGGCCATTCCATAAAAAAATAACTCAACGATATAAAAGGTGCTGTTTTTGTATGACAACCCAGTGACAAGGATGCCTGCAGCGCCAGCACAAGGTGATGACGTCGCGCGCGCCTACCTGATCTCACGGCGGAGAGGAAAATTCAAAATGTCGGCGATGTGGAAGGGTTTTTTTTCCGTTGGTGAAGATGTCGGATTCCAAAAAAATTTTGGACTATGTTGAGCCTCGCTACATCGTCCCCAGTCCGAGATATTTTTCCAACGTAACCTTACCCGAGTTACAAGCCGTCATTTCCGACGTCATTGAGAAGCTAATAGCTGATATCACTTGGGTGAGTTTTACCACAGACATTTGGACGTCGTGTTAGCCCCGTTAGCATGATTAGTCTTACGGCACAATGGATAGACAAAAACTTTGAACTTAAAGTCTGTCCTTCATGCACAGGAGTGCAGAGGATCCCACACTGCAGCTATAGGAACCTGGAACAAGCCTCCACAAGTGAGACAGCATCGCAGGTGACTAATGCTAATAAATAACATTTAACACTTTTTATTTAATATAAGTTAAAGTGCTATGCATATCATATGGCTGTTACTGAATATATGTCACCAGCTGTTACACAATTTTTGTAGCAAATAAGCCTAAATAAGAGGGATATGTTCTGACAGGAAATTGTATAAAATATCTATTGATTATCGGCCAAATAAGTTTTAACATATCGGATATCGGCCAAAAATCCAATATTGTGCATCCCTACAAAAAAAACATAAGTGTAGGCTGTTGGGAGGGGGGGGGGGGGTGATAACA